TCTTGCCACAAGAGACAACACAGCTTATTAAACTTAAAATCTTGCTTTTGTCTCCACCTCACTTTTATAGACATTTTTTTCTGTGTTTTTACCGAACTGTGCAACTTATTGACTCTTTACTTCATCCGCACATATAAATATCCTTTGGTGATGTGTTCATGGCTTTTAGTACTCCCTATAAACAAATGTTTCGACTTAAAAAAAAAAGGAACTATGAAAATCACAGCAGAGTATTTGAGAGTGTACACAAGTGCTATGTAGACAGATCCTGGGGGGTGGGGGGTCTGGTTTTTAAAAATAAGCTTCAGAAATAACACATCCACAAAAAAGAGAAATGTTACCTATAACCTTGGGTATACTATATAGATTTTTTTGTATTGAGATTTGGGGTTCACCCAGAGAAGTCCACCGTGTTATATAAGGAGGAGCTGAGTTCTGTTTAATGATGTCCTAGCTGGTTTCATTGACAAACAACTTTGGGAAGCAGTTTTTGCTAAAGGACACCGGATCTCAGTCTCTCTCCGGCGACAGCAGGATAGTCACAATTTGAGGCCAAAATCAGAGGGGCCCCCTTACCGCCGGCGCTGTGTCCAGAATAAAAACAAACCTAGAACCAGTGGCCATTTGTAAGGAAGCTTTACCGGCCTCTCTGCAGGACTGAAGAAAGGGCGAAACCGGAGGGCGCAGGCAAAGGAACTCTTTGTGTAGCTCGGCCCCAGGTGAGGTTTAGACTGTCGGGGATCAGAGCAGACATCTGTGTGTAGCCAGAGCTCCCGAGAACTTTTTCCTGGAGAGAGGCACCTGGGGCAGTTTACAGCATTCCAGCCTGGAACTTTAGTGCCAAGGCTCTGAATAAACCTTTAGAAATCGCAGCCGCTCTGGGGAGGACCAGCGTATGCTCCACTAGGAGCAAGCGCCGGCAAAGCTGGAGGCGCGGGAAGAGACAGCGAGCCGCCAGAATGTTTCCCCTCGTTCCGCAGCTGGCAGGCTCTCGGCTCCCTGGCTTCTTGGCCCGCAACCCAGCCACTCAAATGTTCCAGGTGGCGTCATATGCAGACCGACCCTTTCTGGGAGCTAGGAGACAAGAGGCGGTTTGGATTTGCTCACAATTTCAGGGTCCTCCAGAAGGTGCTCTCGGGTGAAGATGGGGTGTGATACAAGAAGAAAGTGAGCAGGGGCAGCAGCTTCCCTATTAGGAGTCCAAGGATAACTCGGGACAGGGGTTGACCCCCCCCCCGGGAGCCTCACGGCCGACAGGGGGCACCCTGTCACTGTGGAAGTTGGAGCTTAGCGCTGCGAATATCTGAGCACGCCCCATCGATGCTTCAGGTGAGGGTGGGAACTTGCAGGGCTGTCCTAAAGAGGGAAGCGTGCTTTGCTCCGCAGATCCAATCTCCCAGCATTTGGTAGCTAATTTTACACGTGGAATAATTTCCATGACCAAATTTCAACTAGGAGCACAGTAATGCAGCCCATAGCCTTAAAAAACACCCGGGCATTCAACAGAGAGGGGTGGGAAAGAGAGGGAACAGGGGTGAAGAAGGAAGAGGAGGAAGAGAAAAAGAAAAAAAAAGAGAGAGAGAGAGAGAGAGAGAGAGAGAGGGGCCCAGAATATTGAGAATATTGGTATCCCCGCACTAGGGAGGCAGAGGCAGGCGGATCTCAGTGAATATGCGAGTTCCAGTCAAGGAATAAGCTAGTTCCAAAACTGCCAGGGCTGTTATACAGGGAAAACCAAAAAAGAAAAGTGGGGGGAGGAAGACAGGAGGAGAAGGGGAGGCAAGGGGGAAAGATTGGTATATTGAGTTTCAGTTCCTGAATGAAGAACTATCTTTGTGTTGGGGGAGGTCCTGTTCTTCATTATTTAAGATCTCTGTGGACAGAACGGGAATGCTTAAGGCTCTCCCTTTCTGTGTTTAAGGCTCTCTCTCTACTCTCTCTCTCTCTCTCTCTCTCTCTCTCTCTGTGTGTGTGTGTGTGTGTGTGTGTGTGTGTGTGTGTGTGGTCACATACCTGTATCTTTTGCTTTGATTTGGGAAAAACAGGTCCTTTTATAAACAACATGTGCACCCCTCTTTTCCTGTAGACAGCCCACCATCCTTGTGGGCCCTGGGGGAGATGTAGGGCATCTGATTTTGTAGGGCATCTGATCTGATCACTAGGGGAACATGCCAGATTCACCATTCAGAGCGAAAGCAGGCCTTGCCTTTGGGGAAAATTTCCCTGCACCCCTTCATAGGACTTGTTCTGTAAATTGCCCAAACTCTGCAAAGGGCACTATCCATGCCGCATATTCGGTCCAAAGGGACGTCTTCCTCTGCCCATCCCCAAGGTTCACCCTCCAGTCTGATCCTCATGTAGGCTTCCATGTTCAAAGCTCACCCCAGTGACTGCCATTTATCTATTCTCTGCTCTCACTACTCACAACTCTGAACATCTGGATTTGAGCCAGGGACCAACTATTTCCCACTTTTCTTCATCTCTGAGGCAGAAGAGTTCAGAACTAAATCCCTACATTTCGGTCACATTTTCAGAACCAAGAAAGAGTGTCCTGCAAGACCTGCTACTACAAAATCTTGGCTTACCCTAGTCTTGGTAGCAAACAATACAAATGACATACTTGGCTGCTTTTGGTTTTGTTTTCTGAGACAGAGGTTTGTCTGTGTAGCCCTGGACATCCTGGAATTCGATCTGTATGTAAACCAGGCCTGCCTCGAACCCAGAGATATGCCTGCTTCTGCCTCCCAAGTGCTCGGATCAAAGGCATGGGCCACCACACTCAAATGACAATCTTTTTTTAAATCCCAGAAGCTGAAGAGAAAAGAAACTGAAAATTTCAAATTTTATAAAATAGTCCCGGCCTCGACAGAAAAAAAGAGGAATCCTCCTGAAATCATCCCATAAAGCTCATTATTGATTCCTCCCCCACCTCTTTCTCCCCTCCTGCCCTACCCCCACCACTGACTGCCCTGTTTGTTTTAGTTACGAAATGCTGTGGGCACCTTGGATTTAACTGAAAAGTAACCTTGAAACACCGAGGCCCGCATGTCAGAGGCAAATCGCAGCCTCCCAGGCATTGGCTGCAACTAAGCAAGGCTCTCCCTGCCGCCTGGGGTGGGTAGCCAGAAAAAGGTCCCAGGTAGCTGACAACCAAGGCGGCCAGACTATGCGTGCCCTGCGCGCCACCTGAGGCCACTCCAGGATTTAACTGTAACAGGGAGGGGCCTCCGGAGCAGCGGCCAGCGAGTTAAAGGTGTGTACAGTTTTTCTAAATAAGACAGCTCTTAGCAAATTGGCTGTCACCTGTTTGTTGTTTTGACAGGGAATGAGCGCCGACAGGAAAGAAAG